CCACCAAACTAAGACTGTGTGACTTTTAATCAGTGGGATCAGAGCAAAATTGTATGTGATGCCCTCCCTATTTCCTTCCCCCTTTCTTGATGCAATGAAGACCAGGAGGAAAGAAGGAGCTGCAATCTTAGATCACGGGGCGGATGCTATGTTTGAGAGTGGCAGAGAGATAAGAGAGGAGAGAGGGTCCCATGATTGCATTATTACGAGTAAAACAAACTTCTATTATATTTACATCATTGCTACTTTAGCTTTTGTGAAGGTAGTTGAACTGATATCTCAGCTAAATAACAAATAATAATTTAATAAATTATTGTACTATGGGCACACAATACACTGCAATATTTTCTAATCTGTTATATTTTTTAAAATGCCAAAAAGTAGGACTGTTTAAAGAACTACAGAGTGAATCTTGATAGGATTTTGGCTTGAAAAGAAAAAAAGAACACTAAAACTTTGGGATAATTGGAACTTGATATTTATATACTATTGTGAACTTGATATTTATATACTATTGTGGAATTATTAATTTTATTAGATGTGACATTGGTCATTACAGTCATGGGGAAGATTGTCCTCATTCTCAGGAAATACCTGCAGATGTATTTAATGGTGAAGTGTTGCAATGTTTAAAAAGTACTCTCAAATGGTTCAGCAAAACTTTTGTAATACAATTATAAAGCAAATATGAAAAAACGTTAATAATGGTTGAATCAAAGTTGATGGTGTACAGGTATTCATTATATTATTTTTTCAGCTTTTCTATGTGTGTGGGAATTTTCATAATGTTGGGGGGACAATATGAGTTTTGTCCTAATCAGCTGAGTTTCAGCCACTAAACCTAGAACACTGGTGTTGTAGTTGAAGAGTGTGTGCTCTGGGGCCAGACTACTGGATCTATCTCAGAGCCAGTCCCCTTTGCCTTTGAACCTCAGTTTCCCCAGTCCACGTGCTAGGTAGGATTTGGGTATGGTTTGAGTGTGTCTCCCAAGGTTTCATGTGTTGGAAGTTTGTTCCTCAGTGTGGAGGCGTGAGATCTGCAGAGACCTTTAAGAGGTGGGGCCTCCTGGGAGGTTGTTAAGTATGGGGGCATGCCCTTGGAAAGGGATTGAGATTCTTCTCAAGGGAGCCTGAGTTTGAGCTGGGGTTGTAGTTTAGTGGTAGAGCGCTTGCTTAGCATGTGTTGAGGCCCTGGGTATGATTCTCGGCACCACATATAAATAAATAAAATAAAGGTCCATCAACCACTAAAAAAAGAGTAAATGTTATAAAAGAGTGAGCTTAGCCTCTCCTCCTGGTTTCTTGTCTCACCATGTGCTCTCTCCCTTTTATGTGCCATGAAGGCATCTGCCATGATGTGATGATTTTACCAGTACTTTTGCCATGTTGTCTGGACTAGCAGCCTCCATCACTGTGTGTAATCTAAATAAACCTCTTTTCTCTATAAGCTACCCAATCTCAGGTATTTTGTTACAGTTACAGAACACAGACTAATGTGCAAATTCAAGAGCTATGGGACCTGGGCCAAACTACCTAGCACCTATGCCCAGGGTTTCTCATCAAAAACATGGGAATGCAAATAACTCATGAGTTATATGAATGCACTGAGCAGTGTGGCTCAGAACTTGAGTACAGCTTTCTTCTATCAGGCAGGTGGTCATGGGGTTAAGTGAGAATGTTAGTTGAAACGCCTACAGAACCAAGCTCCAAGTCCACAGTGATGGTGATCACCATCCACCCTTTAAGAGCCCGCCTTGTGGAGACTTTCACCTCTGTCCATTGTCTTGAACTCCTTATCTCATACCAAGTTGGCTCCACCTCATTTCCAGTCCTCACCTGCCCATGAGTCTAGGCTTCTCTGACACCCTGGTCTTCCTCTTTAAATCCTACAGTCTGCCTTCTAAGTTTGGGGATGGGGCTTAATCAGGATCTGCATTGCCACGCCACTGTACCTCTGCCCAGGTTCTGTGGCTCTCTCCTGGTTGTGACAGCAGCTTCCTGGGTGCCTGCCTCCTACCCCCGGCCCCAGCATCCCCTCCCCTCTGGTATTCTGCAGTCTTGGGCACTCAGACTTGAGACTTAGGTGTCTAGAGCATCTGGCTGGGTGTGTGTGGCACCTTCCAATTAGGTGCTTCTCAGCTACTTATCCCAATTGAGTAGAGCAGCCATATCTTGAGATTTTTTTTTTTTTTGTATTGGGGATTGAGCCCAGGGGCACTTAACCGCTGATCTCTTTGAACCTCAGTTTCCCCAGTCCACATGCTAGGACTTGGGTTTGTTTTGAGTGTCTTCCAAGTCACATTTCCAGCTCTTTTCTGTATTTTATTTAGATGTAGGGTCTCACTGAATTGCTTAGTGCCCACTGTTGCTGAGCCTGGCTTTCAACTCTCATCCTCCTGTCTTCTCCTGAGCCGCTGGGATTACAGGTGTGTGCCACCTCGCCCGTCTCACATTTCTCCTTTTCCAGCTTGCTTTGGACAGCTCTGCAAGGGGGGTGGCAAGGTGAGGGGAAAAAGAAGGGCTATGCTCTTTCCTGTTTGCTTCCTGTTACCAGCAGATCCACGGGGATCAATGGCAGCAGCTGGCTTGGCAATGGCTTGGTTTCTTGCAGTTCTCCCAGTCCCAGCAGCACCTGCCTGCATCTCCTCCGCGGGTCCCTCCTGTCAGTCTGCACTCAGCTCCAGCTCTCTCCACTGCTCTGTCCTGGGAGTAGACTGCACTCTGCAGTCCCCACGGCTGAGGCACCTCAGTGCTCCTGAGCCTCCCTTGCTCCACTCCTGGTCCTCAGCTGCCAGATCTGTTTCCCAGATGGACCCAAATGAAGGCACCTGCCTCCCGCAATCCCTAGTCTGCAAGCATCTCGTCTCCCTACTTGCAGGCCCTGTGTGGGAAAGGGTTCCTCCAGCTGTGCCAAAATACTCAATAGTAAGCTTTATATTCCTAAACCCCCAAAGTAAATAAAGGACCCCCACATGACCTCAGTGACAGACTTCCCACCATGCTGACTCATCTTCTTCCTGTGGAGAAATGGGCCCTGGTCGCTTCTCTTCCAGGGGCACATTTCCCTTAAAAACCTTCACATACTCCTCCCATGTCCTTCCAGCTCTCTGGTAGGCAGCCCATCTGTCCCCACCTTCTGTTCCTCAGCACTCTCCTGGGCTTTTCAGATTCAGCGAAAGGACAGGGAGGAGGAAGAAGGCCCAGAGCCCTTCAGGCAGTTTTAACAGCAGGAGAAATGAGGACAGGGACAGTGAGCCATCTTCTGAGACCAGCTTGAGAATTGGGGGAAGGGGCAGGGAAGCCGGAGTGGCAATGACTGAGAACATGGCCAAGGGCCAAGAGAGGGCATTTGTTTCATATCTTTATTGACAAAAAAAAAAAAAAGTCACAGCATTTCAAACACGTGAGTAGTAACAAAGGGCACCCACAAGTGACAGGCATGGTCTGAGAGGTCCAGACGTCCAGACTAAAGGCCATGCTGGAGGGTGTGGGTGTCCCTTGGGCCCTATTCCCTCTCAGCCTCTCTGCTGCTTCCCAGTCTTGCTGACACCCAAGCACAGTGTGACTATGCAGAAATGAAGTCACTTCCCAGGAGGCTGGGTGCCTTGCAGCCCAGCACGTGGGGGTGGTGGCGCTCCTGGGCCCAGCCAGCAGCATCTCAGCCAAGACCCAGGGCAGAGATAAAGGCAGAGATGCTCCCCACTTGGCAGTCTTGGCACAGCAGAAAGTGTGGGTCTCTGGTCACGTGACACCACCAAACCTACAGGCAGGCTGCTCTCCGCAGGGACCAGCAAGACTTCCAGGGAGAAGGCTTACAAGCAAGAACAGTGGCAGGGTTCATAAAGGGTTTGGGAAAATACTTCCCAGGAGCCATGAGAAATGAGCCATCTTCAGATTCCTGGAGCACGGGAACAGTTAAACTCACTGGGCTGCAGTAAGGAAGGAAAAGTTTAATACCAGCCCCCAAAGAGAGCAGAAATGCCACCTGTCTGTGGCCCAGAGCACTGGGCCTAACACTCAAAAGCAGCTGTGGTATTCTACAAGGTTAAATGAAGATATCAGAGCATTCGTGAGGTACCTGCTCAACATCTGCCCTCCAGCCTTCTGGCTGACAAAGCTGGGGTGGGGCCAGAGGCACTGGGACCTACCCCCAAGTATGAGCAACATAGTCCCAAACACTGCTGCTCCTCCCAGGCGGTCTGACATCACTTAACTCCATTTGGCCAAAGGCTTCTCTTCTGGGGTCTTCTGTCCTACGCTGAACAGAACATCTCTACTTGTCTTTGACTACACCCAAATCTTTTGTTTTCCTGAAAGGTGTGATAGGGTGGATGCCTGTGGCCCTTTGGAAGAAGGGGTGTCTACTCCTCCTGTAGGAAGTTCACCTAACACATTACAGCTATGAGAACATCAAGCACAGACTTCTGAGGCGCCAACATGTACATTTACACTGTGTTGACGCAGGTGCAGAAGGAGCCCTGTACACACGTTTCTACACTATTCTACAGAGAAGGAAAAAGCGAGACTCCTGAAAAAAGCTAAACCATCTGGGCATGGTCAGGCCACAAGGTCAATAGGCACTGGACTAGAGTCTAGTCCCTCCAGAAATCACTAACCTTGAGCCCCTGGCAAGGAGCTGAACTGTGGAGCAGTGAGAACCTCAATGGTACACCCTCCTCTTCAACCATGTGCCTGCTGATAGCTGTCTAGGGAAAATAAAGGCTTCTCCAGCCCCTCTGCCTCCCCGACTACTCATGGACACTCGAATTACAAGTTGCAATTACAAGTTCTGTGGTCACATCCTAAAGAGGCCTCTGTGGCATGCTGGTCAGAAAAGCACTCTATTCTCACCAATGTGGCAGTCCCCAGGAAGGAGCAGTGATGGGGACAGAGACACAGGAAGTCTGCAGACTGCCCACCAAAGTGCACACACTGCTGGGGATGGTGTGGAGTCACTACAGTGCTGTGGGGCAGGTTTGCCAAGGTTAGACGACACCAAGGAGAGACAAAATATCACATGTTTGGTCAGGGCATTTTCAAGACACAAATCACAGAAACAACACTTTTAGGTACGACATGACACATTTGGCAACTTCAAAACAGATAGTCTTCCCCACCCCAAGCCATCAAAGGATCCTCAAAGTCCTTTATCTTTGGTCCAGATTAAAAAGCCAGGGAAGATGGGGTCAATGGGTCTAAGAGGAGGCTGCAGAAGCAGCCATACCAACCACTGGCACTCCCCTGACTTGGTGCAGGATGCCACCTGCCTCAAACCTCTTCCTGAGGAGAGGCTGGTCACACTGAGCCCAGCTGCTGGAGACTAATCAGACAAAGCCACTTGTGGGAAAGCAGGAACCGCCACCCTCCCAAGGCAGAGGACACCCCAGCGTCTCCTGCCTGAGAGGCTCTGCTCACGAGAATGTGGGTCCTCTGGTGATTCCATCCTGTGTCAGAACCTCAATTTGACACACTGAAGCTAGAACCCTCTGCATCTGCTACAAATCTTGGAGGGTGCCCAGCAGGGGGAAAGAGTGGCACACGCAGGTGAGACCAGGGCACGGCTTGGGACAGTCCTCCTTTGTCTGCTCCAGCTTCCCTGATGGCTAGGCTGTTTCCAAGGACCTAGGCCTTCCTCCTTCTTCCTTCCCCCAGATCCCCAAAGGCTCCATTTGGAGACCCAGCATGCTGCTGTTGTAAAGATCTGTCACAACACTGGCTATAAGAACAAAAGCAGGTTCTGAAAAGGGGATCTGCAGCCAGAGGTGCGTCTGTCTGGAGTCCCAAGGGTGGGCGGGGTTCCTTTGGTTTTAACCAGGACACTTCTTCACTGGGGCAGGCTCAGCTTTGCTTTGCAGTAGCTCGGTTATCATACAGGTGTAGACTTAACTGCATGGAGCTGTTTTGCTGAATTGCCCTCTTGCCTTTCCGGATTCTGAAATTTTGGATTCTCAGCTTACATCCGAGATCCTCTCTCCTGAAGAATCTGAAAGTGGAAGATGGGGGAAAAGGTTGAGGTGCTGAGGAGATGACAAAGGGAAGGAAAGACCCACAGAAGCCTGGGTGTGTAGCTCAGTGGTCAAGCATGTGCTTATTAGTACGCACAGGCCCTGGGTTCAAACCCCAGCACTAAAAATAAATAATAAAAAATTTAAACCAGTGTATATGATCTGATTACAGTGAAATTAAGTTATAATTTACAATAAAAATGATTTAAAAAAGAAAAAAGGAAAGACCCAGACCTGCATCCATTGGACCCTGTGGGCAGACATGGTGGTAAGGCAGACACTAAGCCTTGAGTACCCTGGGACACTTGCTGAACACAGTTGGTCCTGAGTTTCTGTGCCACTGGACCAGTCTTCCCAAGCTAAGAAAATGGTTCAAGCTCCTCTCACCCTGTAGTTTAGAAGTGCATGCGAGTGTGTGTGTGTGTGTGTGTGTGTGTGTATGGTGTGCATGCATGTTTGTGGAGCACAGTGGAAGCAAAGAAGGTAGCAGTGTACAACAGATTTCTAGGAATGTAAGGCCGGGAAAAGTATGAAGAGACCTTTGTCCTTGAGGTGGGGGAAGAAGGACTGATACTGAGTTCTGAGATCTCTCCACGGAGTAATCAGTGCAATAAAAAGTTGCTTTTTCACTGACTTGTCAAAGGCCAAAGAAACCTCTTCAGGTTCACATTTTCTAACTGAAAACCCCTGCCGTGGCTCCCTAAACCGTGATTAAAATTCAGCCGACAATGGGGCTGGGGATGTGGCTCAAGCAGTAGCGCGCTCGCCTGGCATGCGTGGGGCGCTGGGTTCGATCCTCAGCACCACGTACAAACAAAGATGTTGTGTCCGCCGAAAACTAAAAAATAAATATTAAAAAATTCTCTCTAAAAAAAAAAAAAAAAAAAAAAAAAAAAAAATTCAGCCGACAAAAGAGCCCAAAGAAGGAAGTGCAAAGCTGCTGCAGGAGGGGGAGGCGGGGAGGAGCAGCAGCCAGGCTACGGCAGAGGGCTGGGCCAAACCAGCACACAACCTGGACAAGCCGCTTCTTACCTTCGCCTTTTCACTTGGCTCTATGACGATGCCATTGGTAGAATTATTTAGTTCTCTGGAGACAACACAGAGGAATTCTGCCTGGTCCTCATTTCCATAGTTATAGGAAGATCCAATGCTGATCAGCTGGCAAAAGAAGATGGTGACCAAACAGGCAGTGATGTGAAGATAGTCAAGTGCACCCGTCATACCCTTCCCCGACTGGATTTTGTGGTTTTATTTCTCAAGGACAAAGAACCCTCTGACACTACTGAAGTCCTGGGGGTTAACTGCACCAGGACATCATCAAGTAGGCTTCCCCAGAAGAGAAGTCTGAATTCTATCACTGTTCCCTCACCCTAGCACTTGAAATCCTCCTAAAGGCAAACACAATCACTGTCTGTCAAACATGAGGTGAAGAACGTTTCTGTGAATGAAAATGAACACTTGCTTCAGTCAAAACACAGACTGTCGATTTGTAAGTAGTAGTAGTCCTAGACAGGAGGTGGAGGTGCAGAATCACTGAACAGCTCCCCAAAGGTGCACACTGCTGATACTTTAACCCTTTGGAGAAATGAATTCAGTGCCTATTCCTAAATCAGAAATACACATTCAGAGGGAGGAGCTGAGCCCAGGGTGAGGTCATCCTCACAAGTGCACACGGCCACAAGATGGGAACTCCTTGCTGTCTGTCTGGGGTGGGGGCACTTCAGTTCCGTGTTCAGCTTCCTCTCTAGATCATAGAAGCAAGAACAGATTGTCCCTCCACAGGGCATTAACAAGATGAGGAAGCAACATAAATTATCTATTGGTTTCACAAAAAACACTCATATTTATAATTTTTTAAAAAAATACAGGGGCTGGGGATATAGCTCAGTTGGTAGAGTGCCTTGTATGCACAAGGCCCTGGGTTCAATCCCCAGTACCTCAAAAAAACAAACAAACAAAAAAACATCAGCTTGGCTTAAGACTCTGTATCAGAGCAAATATAGAGAGGGTGGAGGGATAGTCAACCATGCACAGCATTTTGCCATCCACACCTGAGCAAAAGCCAGGCCCACTGGTCCTGCAGGGGGAGACAAGGGTGAGGAGCGTCCCAGCACTGGGTCTGAAGCCAGAGGCAGCTCTGCGTTTGGTCTAGAACTGGGTAAGTTAACACAGATTCTAACTTTTATTTTACAAGGTGAGCTTACAGTGACAGCTCAGGTGGCTTCTTCAACTCTACAAAAAAATATATTCCCTCTATTCACCCTCAGCCTTCCTGTGTTTTGAAGACAATCGAAGAATTAAACAATTCTGCCATCTAATGGAAGAAAACAGTAAAACTTGACTCTCAGTAGTTTTGCTCTGATACTCAGACCTGAGCACAAAGCTGAAAGAAACAGAGCAGAGAGAAGCATGGGCCACAACTAAGCTACACTGGTCAGTGCATCTGATCCCCTCACAGCCACCTGCTCACCAAGCACTTATGGGAGAAGATAGGCTTGCTGTTGAACCACCTTCTTTAGGGACTCATCACAGAGCACTTTATTTTTTAAACACTTATTTTTCAGTTGTAGTTGAACAATATCTTTATTTTAACGTGGTGCTGAGGATCGAACCCAGGGCCTCACACATGGTAGGCAAACACTCTACTGCTGAGCCACAACCCCAGCCCAACAGAGCACTTTTGAAAGGAATCTCTCTGAGGGAAGAAAAACCAAAGGGAATCTCTTTGAAGCCTAGAAAAGCTTGCTGGCTCTGTTGGAAATTGTCAAATTCAAACTCTGGATGTGAAGCTGGGAGATGTGGCTCTCTCCTCTCAACCCTCCCCAACCCATCACATTATAAGCAAGTAATGGGCACCAAGTAACTCTCTCTTCCCACATTTTGGAATGGATCTCACCGGGCCTTACCCATTTCCCAGGGATAGCAATTGGTTGGACAGCAATTGAGGAGTTTGGCCCACTGGGTTGAGGTACCAGGATAGCTGTTCTTTGAGAAACATACCTGTTCAAATTTCCAGCCGTCAGACATGGTGGAGACCATCTGTGTGAGCTCTTCCTCTTGGCACTGCAGGACCCTGTACACATGCTTCACGGGGCCCTGCAACAAGCAGGCAGACTGAGCACGGCAGCATAGTGGGCAGCTGCTTGGTGAGGCCTGCAAAGGCTCTTGACCACCCATCATCCCACGACCACAGCATTGGGTTCTCAATGAAAACTCACCCAAGGAAAGAAGGGAAAAAGGGACCAAGAACATCAATCAGTGGGTGAACTAGTTCTAACTTGGGAGGGTGAATTATGAGAACAACCATGATAACAAACTTTAGATTGCATCCATTTCCACAATAACTCTGCATGAGAAAGTCATACTTTTTTTTCCCCCCCCTGAAGTGGCTTAAACTGATGTGTATGCTAAAAATATAACAGCATATTTTGGTTTATTCAGACTGATGTAAGTGATTATAAGAGTAATATATTAATAATATAAATATTTGATTTTTGTCTTAAATTTCTGGCAGAGCTCCCCAAACCCTTGGAACCTCCTATATAGTAAGAGTCTTTGGGGGTTAGGGGTGTGGCTCAGTGTAGAGCTCCTGCTTATCATGCCTGAGGTCCTGGATTCCAACCCCAGCACTGTATAACAAAAACAAAAATGAAACACTACAAAGAGCATTGCATAACTATCATTGACCAAGGTATTAAAAATTTCCTCCCATATAAAGTATATGACAAATCTTCTAAGGATTTCAATTGGCTCTATCCATATACCTGGAAACAATCAGGTATGTGTGTATGCATTTGTGTGCATGCTGGGAATCGAACCCAGGGCCTTACACATGCTAGGCAATTGCTCTACCACTGAGCTATACCCCCAGCCCTTTTTATATTTTGAGACAAACTTTAAGATCAAGCTAAATTGCTCAGGTTGTCCTTGAACTTGTGATCCTCTGCCGCAGTCTGGCTGTGGCCCTCAACAATCCTCCTGTCTCAGCCTCCAGAGACGTAGAGATTACAGGCATGTACCACCATGCCCAGCCATTCCCTAGTTCTTTATATTTTTTTGTTTTGAGATAGGATCTTACTAAATTGCTGAAGCTGGCCTCAAACTTATGATCCTCCTATCTCAGCCTCTCAAGCTGCTGGAATTATAGGAGTGTGCACCCAACTGGCCAGATGATTTGTATTACAAAAATATTGAGCATCACCAAAGATCTGTGATATTAGCACAGTTACCCAAGTCCCAAGTATTTAATATGGCATTATAGTGCCTCTGTTTTTCCTCCTCCAAAGTAAATCATGGGTGCTCCAAAAAGTACCAAGATTAATCACCTACAAAAATAACACTAATGACAGCAAAGCATTTAGAATGGTAGCAGCCACTAAACAAGCTAAGAGGCCACAAGAGAAAAGGTGGGTTAGAATCCCCACATCTTGGACTTGGCTGAATGCCTGCCACGTGTGAGGTGAGGGACTGCAGACAAATTAAAGGAGGTAATGTTTGGAAATCCATACACAGCCAACTTCATCTGAGAACCATGTGCACAAAGGCAAAAGAGGGTGTCTTTGAACAACATCAAATCCATTTCTCAGAGTTTCACTAAATAAAAAGAAGAGATGGAAAGATTAACATCAAAAAGATCTTGACAGTCCCAGAATAAAAAAGCTTCCAACTGGGTATAAATCTACAAGCCTTTAGGATCTAGGGGACTAATTAACTTAGTTGCTGTCATCAAACAGAAATCTTATAATGCTCTCAAGGAATTAGTTTATGGTAAAGAACAGAGAATGTTCAGACACCATGATTTGAAAACATTCAATATGTAGTTCATATGGTACCATCAACATTTCTACTAAGAAATCAAGTATTTTTTAGAATGTGGAAAAATAAGGATAAAACTAATTTCCAAAAATGTCTAAGCTATTAAATATCTATGGTAGTAAAAGATACCAGACATGTACAATGGCAAAGGGACTGGTGACACCAGATTGTGTCTCACATGAACATCTGCAAACCAACTACGAATTCACCTTTGAACATTAACAAGGAACCTTTTAGCAGTCGACCAGATGAGTCTTCTTTCTACCTTTGCAAATAGCCAGAGATAAAGGGGATGAGAGATTTATTTCATTTCTGGGTCACTCCTGCCAGCTTTCATCCAGATATTCCATTTAGAGCCAGAAAATGTTGATACATGAAATCTGACGCAGAAAGAGCAGAGTGCTATTAAAGAGAAACCGACTGCCTTCTTTTTTAACAGCAGACAAGTCCTAGGCTGCAACAGATTAAATAAAACATCCACCACCAGTAGCTGGTGGGATAAGAGGCAATCGTGCTACAAAGCAGATGGCTGTGGTGGAAAAAAACTCAGCCCCGTTTCTGCAACTCTGCAGTTGTTCTTTCTTAAACAAAAGAAAGGGAGGGTCTGTTTCTCCTGCTAGACTTGGGGTCAAGGACCTTCTGTTACACACAGAATCCAAAAGACCTAATAGATCCTGAGTCGCCATACAGACATATGATGAATGACATGAGAAATAACAAGTTAAGCATGCTCTATTATCTCCCCTTCCCTCAAACTTGTGGGAAATTCTGCTTCATTTGTTACCATATTTACTGAGTAAATACAAAGATCCAGACATCTTAATAAAAAGAGAGGCTTGAGGGCTGGGGTTGTGGCTCAGTGGTAGAGCACTTGCCTAGCATGTGAGAGGCACTGGGTTCAATCCTCAGCACCACATAGGTATAAATAAATAAAACAAATGTCTATCAATAAAACATTAAAAAAAAAAAAGAGAGAGAGAGAGAAGCTTGAGTACATTTTCTTGGAAGCATGAGTCATAGCTGATTTCAAGGGACTTGCAGGGGCTAGATGTGACATGCTTACAGGCCAGCAGGTAGAAGCAAGAGCTTGTTTAGGCTTTATGTTCAAAGTGATGGACCTTAGGTCAGAGACAGCAAGCAGGCTTTGGACCTAAAATGGCCTTGGCCATATGGCGAGCAGTGACATTTTCTTCTCAAGGGACATGGCTGTTCTGTTTTATTATTCATTCTTTTTGTGCTGAACAACCCTGGCCAAGTAGGCACCATCTGCATAGCAGACGGACAGTGTTCTATACAGACTCTAGCTCTGAGGGAAAAGCCATCCTTTTCAAGTCATAGCCAGACACTCAGACACAGAGAGCCACTGGGGACACTTTCCCCTTAACAGTTCAAAACACCTTACTTGTGAAGTTCTGTTCTCGTTGTCTCGTATCCTTTCCTTAACCAGCCGCACAAGAGAGGCAATGTTGTAAAACTCTGCTTCCTCCAGCACACCTAGAACAAGGACCAGACTGGTCAGGAATATTTGAGCTCACCAGGAAAACAGCAACTAGAGGCTTGCCAAAAACTGCATTTGTCATATATAAATTCAGTCTCTCTCCTTCAGCTTTGGAAATATCTCTTTGATGTTTAGGGTATACCCACAAACTTTTCCCCAACCAAGTCAAGTACCAGGGACTGCTTTGCTCACTGTTTCACCCCCACTGTTTATGTTTGGCCCCTGCCCATTAACTACAGGATACCTTCCATATGTCACTTAATTCCTGGAACTAGTCACATTGGCCACCTCCTGAGCTTGCAATTTTTACCCAGTTTTCCCTTAAAAGGACTGGCAGATAGATGTGTATAACCCTATGTGTATTGAATTTAATGGGATGCTTATTATTTTGAATAATATAAAAGGCAATCATTGAAAAACTCTCATGCGAAACAAAATCAAAGGCCTTAGAAAGGAAAACTATCAGATGTGTGATCCCGTACCAGGAAAAAAAAATTGCTATAATGGCCATTATTAGAACAGTTGGTAAAAATGAAATATAAACTGCAGATAGAAGTATTTATCTACATTAAATTTCCTAAGTTTCAAAGTAGGGTTATATGAGAATATCCCTTGTTCTTGGGAAAAACGCACAGAAATATTCAGGGGTAAAGTTTGCAATCAGAAACTTAGAACTATGGGAGGAGAGGAGAAAGAAGAGAAGATGAAAAGAAGAGAGGGGGAGAATGAATGTTAGCATAAATATAACAAGAAATGTTAAAAATCAGTGAATGTAGCCAGCATTGGTGGTGCAGCCTATAATCCCAGAGACCCAGGAAGCTAAGGCAGGGGGACTGCAAATTCCAGATCAGCCTGGGCAACTTACTGAGACCCTGTTTTAAAATCAAAAATAAAAAGGGCTGGGCTGGGATTGTGGCTCAGCGGTAGAGCGCTCGCCTAGCACGGGCAGGACCCAGGTTCGATTCTCAGCACCACATGAAAAAAAAAAAAAGGCACTGTGTTGTGTCCATCTACAAAAAAGATTCATATTTTTTTTCTCTCTTTCTCTCAAAAAAAAAAAAGAATTATAAAAAAAATAATATAAATAAATAAAAAGGGCTGGGGATATAGCTCAGTGGTAGAGTGCCCCTGGGTTCAATCTCCAGCACAGGGGGTATAGGGAGTGCGGATTGGTGAACCTGGGTAAAAAGAGTTTTTTGTACTATTCTTGCCCTTTTTGTAAGTTCAAAATTATTTCAAAAGAGTGTTGTGTTTTTTTTTCTTTTTTTAATTAAAGACATTAGAAAATGTTAATTAGGAGATGGTAATTGTTGAAGTTGGATGGCAGGTACATGGCAGGTACATGGAATTTAATGTTATTTTTAAAATTTTTTTTTAGTTATAAATGGACACAATACCTTTATTTATTTATTTTTATGTGGTGCTAAGGAATGAACCCAGTGCTTCACATATGCCAGATGAGCTCTCTACCACTGAGCCACAACCCCAGCCCAATATACTATTCTACTTCTTCTTCTTCTTCTTCTTCTTCTTATTGTTTGGTTTTTTGGTACCCGGGGTTGAACCCAGAGGTGCTTTTTATCTTATTTTATTTTTTAAATTGTAAGACGGGTTTCGCCAAATAGCTTAGAGCCTTGCTAAATTGCTGAGACTGGCCTTGAATTTGGATCCTTCTGCCTCACCTGGAGTTCCTGGGATTACAGGCTTATGCCACCAAGCCCAGCCTCATTATTTTTGTATGACTTTGAAATGTTTTTCAAAGAAGGACACTTAAAAAAAACCCCAAAAACCCCAGAATGTTTCCAAATCTCCCCCTATAAGAGAGCAACTCCTCTTTTTATTGCCTGAAATAGAACTGTTTTGCCATCACCTCATTAATGAGTATAGCCATTACAAGATTTCTTACTCAGAGCTCCAGCTCCGACATCAGAGCGCCCTGGATTTAGAAAAGGAACCTAAACTTCAGTTGAATGCCTCCAGTGAGACCAAACCAAGCCTTTGAGAAAGAGAGCTAGACCCACTTACAGTCTAAATGCTCTACAAATCAAAAAGATGAGGCAACCAATAACATACCTAACAATGAACTGGAGAATGAATTAGGTCAGCCTCAAAAATTTACAGGGAAGCATGAGATCAGAGTTTGAAAAAAAAAAAATGAGGCCAAACCTTTATTATTTTTTTACAGCTGCAAGTTCAAACTAAAATTGAAAATATGAATAATTGAATGTTAGAGATGTGGTGCTTCAGGCTATGGACATTCACTTCTAGCTCATAAGTAAATGTAAAAAAGGACTGTGACAATTCTGCAGGCTCAAAAAAAATTCCTGAAGCTATCTGCAAAGCTGATAGCTAACTGAGAAAGCTGAACAAAGCCCTATGGGGCTTCCTTCAACAAGATTCTCTTAAACAAGACTAGGCAACTGGAGGCTTCCTGCTCACTTTCATAAACCTGTACACCTGTATATGAGCCCCACAAAAACCTCAAACAAAACTCAAGTCTCTAACAGCCTTCACAGACCTGAATTTTGAAAAATTCAGTGTAAACAGAGCTCTTACCTTCTTCTGCCAACTCCTTGGTAATGATGAGTTTCCCATGGCGGAGGTAGTTTAGGATAGGACCAAAGTAAGTGGGGTCTCTGTCAATCAGATAGGCTCCTGTTTCATCCTGCCAACCAAGCACAAGGATATCACTGGAACTTTCAGTAACATTTTTAAATTGAGAGGGCTCCTTCTCTTTGTCAGTGCTCTAAGACAATTCAGTTCTTCAGCTAAAAAAAAAAAAAAAAAAAAATGTAGCAAGGAGCTGGGGTTGTGGGTTCAGCAGTAGAGCTCTTGCCTAGCACATGACAGGCCCTGGGTTTGATCCTTAGCACCACATAAAAATAAATAAAATTGTATTGTATTGTGTTTAGTAGTTGTATTGTGTCATACAACTACTAAAAAATAAATATAAAAAAATTTAACGAGGACAAATTTTGCTAGACATTTGCTTATTACAAACTATTGGCAAGTAGGCTGGCTTCGTGCATCTTGTGTTTTAAGATCATTTCAGGTCAGGTGTCAGAGATGCACAGTCATAGCCATCATCTAGGTGTTTATTTACTGGTTTGAACTTCTACAATCTTTGCTTGGACAATTACCAACATTCTTCAGTGGTATATTATTTAAAAAGGAGGAAGAAAATGCTAAGGCTGCATGATTTAAATCTTTGTTTGAGATGGACAGTCTTATTCTCCATTGCTCCCAATGCACATTCCTGATTCTAAGAAAACCTCTGCTCAGCTGGCCACACTCCTGAGTTCCAGGCCAACACCAGTGGGAGTCTCTGCATTGCCAGCTGTAATCTCACACACCCAGAGATCTGTGCCCAGAGGAAGCATGGTATTGCCAGGACTTGGCTCCAAGCAGCTTTAATCCTACTCATCTTTACAGTAAAAGGAACAAGATGAAACTGGTTTATACAGCCATAAGGAAGACTCAGGGTATATAAAAATAATTCCACATAAACAAGAGTTTTGGAATTTTTTTTAAAGTTAGGGCAGGATGGGTTTCCATCAACCTGAGATTTATTAGGAAATGAAATGAAAAATGAAACAAATGAACGTTTACGCAATCCCAATTCTGTTACAAGTTAACTGGCTGAGTGCTGTGTAGGATATAAAGTGATGTAAGTTATTGTCAGTGGCTCTAAGTTGGGAATTAAAGATGAATCTGTAAAAGTTAAAAACATTGATTCAAACAGTTCAAACTGGAAAAGGAAGTGTCTCATAACCTCTCAACCCTTTGGTTAGCAGCCATGCATCTTTGTCTAGCAGTATTTCTGGGTCTTCATTTTTACTGTCTTAACCGAGTCAACCTTGATTTGCACTGGATCTCAGGGACCTAAACAGCAACTGTAACCAGGTACAAGTTCTGGGACCAGGACTTTAGGAAAACAGAGTAATATAACAAGAGGGACTTCCTGGAGCGATGGAAGCCATTGTCAGGCCCAGGCTTTAACCCGGCTTGGCACGGGGGTCCGGCACGAAGTGTGGGAGAGCTACAGAGCTCCCTTCGCTTGCCCTGACCCAATTCTGGACGTATTTGGCATCAGCAGTGAGGGGCGGAAAGGCAGCCAGGGAAAAACTCGAGAGGCTGGGAGGACAGGGAAGCTGGTGTGGAGCCGGCTTTTGGGTGCGGGTGGGCAGCGTGGGGAAGCGCTGCTGAGAACCAAGGGCGGGGTCGCAGAGAACCGGGGTGTGCCTGAGGATGCGGGAATGGCGCGTCCTCCTGAGGCCCCGGGTGGCCCAGGGGGCGGGAAGGGGGAAGGGGCCCCGGTCTGAGCGCCCTGCCTGTGAGGAGCCTGCGCGGGCAGGACTGGGGAGACCGACTGGAAGCCAGGGAGTCCACAGGCCCGGGGGCGCGCCCGAGGGCGGGGCGCACCTTGTCCGAGTCCAGCTCCGGGTCCTCCTGGCAGCAGAGGCGGCAGAGGAAAGACTTGGGCTCCCGGCCTAGAGTCTGCCTGGTGGTCACGAAGTAGGTGCCGCCCACGTTCAGCCGGACCCAGCGGGCCGCGCCGCCGCCCCCTGCCCGCTCGGGCGGTCCAGGACCTGGGTCCAGCGGTTGCGCGACGGCGGCGGGCAGGCGGGCGTGTCCGCGGGGCGTGGGGCCAGCCGGCCGAGGACTGGGGGGCCCACGGCCCGGGCCGCCGCCGTCGCCCGCCCCGCTCCCGCCACCCCCTCCCAGCCCTGCCATCGCCGGGTCCAGCTGCAGCTCCGCCATCTTGGGCCGCCACCGCCGCCGCTGCCCGCGCGCCACCGGACCGGCCCATTTCTCGGCAGGGAGAGCCGGGCCGGCCCATCGGCGGGGGTGGGGCAGGGGGAGAGGGACGGGAGTGTCCCTAACTAGCGGGGACCCTGGCGGCGCAAGCGCCGCGCCCGCCCCCGGGGGCGGGACTTCCTAAACCAGCTCCGTCTCTATTGGCTGACATGTGAAGTGAGGACCGCCCCTTTGTCTTTGGGATTGGATGAGGGGAGGTCTTCCGGTGACCCACTTCCGTTACTTGCTGCTGAGGACTACGCTCTCCTGGGGTCGGTGAAGGTGAGCGGGGTTCGGGGCGTTAAGTGCGAACCCCGCAGAGTTCTTCTGCTTGGCGTCTTCCCGATCTCGCGTTTTCCTTGTTGCACCCCGCTGAGGACGCCGAGCTCCCGGGGTGTCCCGCTGGCAGAGTGCCCGGGGTGTAGCTGCGCTTTGCCCCTCATTCCCTTCTTCACTCCACCCCGCGCGCGAGGTCGCGGGCCCTAGCTGTCACCCGGCCGCCGCTAGTGTAGGCGCTGCCACAAACTGTCTGGTACAGTCTTCTGCTCCCAGCGCGGCCATCTCGGTCTTGTGGTTGTGAGGCAGGGACACACTCTACAGAGTTAATGCTGAGGGACATTTAGCAGGCTGCGGGGCTGCGCCTTCCCCTGCATCTGGAGCGTTCCAGGATTCCAGTTTGTGCAGCGTTCAGGACTTCTAAGCTCCAGGGTTCATTTACCCGTTGAACGAGTATTCATTGAGCACTTCCTATACTTGTGACCTGTTCTAGGCGCTGGGGAGTAAGCTATAAACGAAAGGGGAAAAGCCCTTTTCATTTAACTCTATCTTCAGGTGCTTGGAAGAACCTCTGTAAAAACATTGATTGTCTGGCACCTTAGTTTCCTAACAGTCTTAACCCTAACCCTTATGGGAGGAGAAGGAAGAGAGGTGTTGTTTGTTTGTTTTGGTACCAGGTATTGGACCCGGTGGTACTTAGCTACAAGCCATCTCCCCAACCCTTTTTATATTTTGAGACAGGGTCTCTCTGATTTGCCTAGGGCCTCCTTAAATTGCTGAGGCTGTGAACTTCTGATCCTTCTCCCTCAGCCTCCCAAGCCAATGTGAATACAGGCATGCACCACCATGCCTGGAGAGTCAGGTGTTTTAACAACTTTCTTTTTAAGATCCTGAGGAAGCTTTCTTCACCTTTTTCGAATCCACTCCATAGCTTGTAGAGAACTTTGACTTTACAGACTTCTAATTTCTGACCCTGATCTTAATTTAATTGAATTAAGTTTTCCTGTATGGCCTTGGTGTAAGACAGCTGCAGCCAATTTTTATTTTCTCTCATATTCATCTCTGTATGGAATGCCTCTTAAAATGCAGGGCATGTAAGAGTGCAGTAGTGGATAATTAGATATTAATCAGAAGGGTGCAGGTCTATGACCAATCAGGTGGGGCATAAGATCATACTGCAAGATGATGTGCATCTTGATTGTTTTTTTTTTTTTTTTGTTGGCAGTGGGGATTGAACTCAGGTTATGTGCAGGCTAAGTAAGTGTTCTACCACTGAGCTACATCCTTAGTGCCTTTAATTTTATTCTGAGACAGGGTCTCCTAAGTTGCCCAGGCTGATCTGGAACTTGTGGTCCTCCTGCCTCAGCCTCCTGAGTGACTGGGATTACAGGTGTGCACCCCTACTCCTGACTGGGAGCTGGGCTTTTAAGGATGAATAGGAGTTGGGGGAATACAGAAGGACAATCTAGTGGAAGAGAACACATTTATATGCTTTGTTGTATGGTTAATTTGAAAAAGTAAACCGCCCTTTCTTGATTTTATTAAAACTCATTCCTTTAATTGATAAAATAAACCCACCAAGCACTAAAAGGATGCTGATCTATTTTAAAAACTTGCATGTTTCTAAAATGCCCTTCTTCAGAAGATTCACTCCAGGATCACTGTTTTGATCTAACCTATCTTCCAGGATCCCAAGATGGCTGGGCGCAAACTTGCTCTAAAAACCATTGACTGGGTAGCTTTTGGGGAGATCATTCCCCGAAACCAGAAGGCTATTGCTAACTCCCTGAAGTCCTGGAATGAGACCCTCTCCTCCAGGTCAGTATGTTCCTGAGAGGGAACCCCCTACTTTCCACTGAATCTAGAAACAGTGTTTTGGGATTGCATATGAATTTTTGATACTCTTCAAACAAAAGAATAAAGAAATCCATGCATTTTCCAAATGAAAGTATTTTGGGGCATCATTGTGATGACAAAAGAGAAAAGTTGATGACACCCTATACCACAGGATTAAGAATAGGGAAATTACTGTGTGAATATTCTGTTTCTCATGGAACAAACCTGACTTTTGCATTTGCATGTGAGCAGGTTGGCTACTCTGCCTGAGAAACCACCAGCTATCGACTGGGCTTACTACAAGGCAAATGTTGCCAAGGCGGGCTTGGTGGATGACTTTGAAAAGAAGGTGAGACTTCAGATAACTAAAGCCCTGATCTTGTTAAGTGGCTTGTGAATGGGGAGTAGGAAGGTACATATACATATGGAAGATGACAGGGTAGATAAGGTAAATATGCCATATGACAGTAGGGGAAGAAGGGTGATGTTAGCACTCAGATCCCAAAGGAGTTTTAGGAAAGATGGGTGTGGCCAAAGCCCTTGCAGTGGTAGGATTTGAGAATTCAGGGTCTGTTCAGTCAAAGGAACACTATGGCCTTGCTGCCTGGAGCCAGACAACTGTTAGAGTTTCTTTCTAACTCTGCCTAAGTTCCATTTTAGCTTCCCGCTATCTCCTTTTGATACAGACCAACATCTTTTCTGCCCTTTTACTGTTTCCCTCCTTTTTCTCTGCTCTTTTTTATTATCCCTTAGAGCTGTAATTTCTTATTTATCTGTCCTCTCATGATATTTACACATTAAGTCTCAATATCCAAAGTTCATTTGCTTCTCCACTTGAGGGTAGTGTTAAGTGCTGGGCTATAACATCAAGCAGTCTTCTAAACACCATTTTTATCTCCATCATATATCATTACTTCTGCTGATAAGATCTCTGGGGTTTCGTGTCAAAGACAATTCAGGACTTCTTCAGAATGTGAGGCTATTTTTCTTGTTAAGTACAGCTGTCCTTTCCAGATGAGGAAACTGAAGTTCATTGTTATAAAGAAATATCCAAGGTCTTAAGTCAGTCAGTGATGGAGCTGAGAAGATCCTTGAGCTCCTCTTCCCAGTAAAATATTCTCTCTACTACAACATCTGAAATGCATATTGGTTTCTTCTTGGGGTGGAGAATATGCTTTAATATGATCTTTAAGGAATAACTTTGAGCCCTTTCTTTGGGCTTCTGGGTATATTGCTGCCAACTCACTGTCCCTATTTATAGTTTAATGCCCTGAAGATTCCTTTGCCAGAGGATAAATATACTGCACAGGTGGATGCTGAAGAAAAGGAAGATGTGAGTAATCGATGTTCTTTTTTTTTTTTAAACATATTTATTTATTTAGTTAGTTATTGGCAGACACAACATCTTTGTTGGTATGTGGTGCTGAGGATCGAACCCAGGCCACACACATGCCAGACGAGCGTGCTACCGCTTGAGCCACATCCCCAGCCCCAATGTTCTTTATTCTAAGTTTCTTTCTTTTTTTTTTTTATTCATATATATATATATATATATATATATATATATATGTGTGTGTGTGTATTAGTTGGACACAATACCTTTATTTATTTATTTTTATGTAGTGCTGAGGATCAAACCCAGGGTCTCACACATGCTAGGCGAGTGCTTTACCACTGAGCCACAACCCCAGCCCTATTCTAAGTTTCTTAACCCATTGTGCCCCAGCATCTCCTGTATAGGACACATGTAAAAGTTTTGAGCTGGATTACTAGGACAGCTATATATTACTTAGCAGCTAGTAAAAGGTAGAACAAACTAAATTGAAAATTAAGGTGTTGCTGGGCATGGTGGTGCACACCTGTAATCCCAGTGGCTCTGGAGGCTGAGACAGGAGGATCATGAGTTCAAAGCCAGCCTCACCAAAAGCAAGGCACTAAACAACTCAGTGAGACCCTGTCTCTAAATAAAATACAGAAAATAGGTCTGGGGATGTGGCTCAGTGGTTGAGTGCCCCTGAGTTCAATCTTTGATACCAAAAAAAAAAAAAGTGTTAACAGTAATAAAAAGGAATGAACTGTTAATAAATACTACAACATGGATTAATATCAAAATAATTATGCCGAAAGGCAAGGGTGGTGGCACATGCCTGTAATCCCAATGACTGGGGAGGCTAGGACAGGAGGGCTGCAAGTTCAAGGGCAGCCTCAGCAACTTACTGAGGCCCTGTCTCAAAATACAAAAAGGACTGGCAATGAAGTGTAGTGGTAGAGTGTCCCTAACTAAGTTCAGTTCCTAGTGTCAAATAACAATAATTACTATGCTCAGTTAAAAAAGCAGCAAGGAAAAAATGCAAATACCATATGATTCTATTTGTGTAAATCTCTACTAATCTATAGTGACAGAAGGTACATCAATGATTGCCTAGGGATGGGAAGGAGAAGGGTAATACATATGCTCACTGTTTCAAGCATGGTGATGATTTCACAGGTAGATACCTACATCAAATGGTGCTCTTTAAATATGTGCACCTTATTATATGTCAGTTATACCTCAACAGAGCTGTCAAAGGCAAGGTATTGAAATTAGGTAGAAAAATTATCCAGGTGTTCAGATACATAACTGAAACATTGGGACCTGATGATTCCCCCAAAGAGAAGTCTGGCTTGGTGGTCAGGTGTCTTGTCCTGGCTATTCAGTGCCCAGCCCTTATGAAACAGGCCATACTAACCTGTTTTTGTACTTGGGCTGCTTTGTGGGTGTTAGCAAAAGCTGTAGTTTAGCTCTCAGTAGGCAGGCAGCTACATCTCCACAGGGCAGGAGAGCAAGAGCAGCCTGGGGATTTCCCATACCTTGGGAGCTTCAGGGTCAGGTTACAACCTGGTTTCACAACAGAATCTGTTGGTTCTCTTAAAGGTAAAAAGTTGTGCTGAGTTTG